CAAATTGAAGGAGATATTTTGCATTAATTTGCATACTTTTCGTAAAGTGGGTTTCAGAAAGCGATCTGTGATATGAAGAATTCGATTTTTATCTTTGTTCTGTTACTTTGGTATTTCATGATACCTGCTTCTGTCTCATCGAAAGGTCAGTTTTACCATTACTCATTTCTGAGTGGGGATAGTGAAGGGAAAGTAGTCCTTCTTGATAATATTTACCGTTTAACACCCTTACCTGCTATTTGTTTAAATGGGTTTTTGTTATTTATTTCCGAAAAAAAAAAAAAACCTTTAAAGATTACTAAACACTTTTAAATTCCTTTAAACTCCCCAACGGAGAACCTCTGGGGTGAATGGATGATGAGTGGGCGGATGGTTTGTTTGAGTAAGTTTTTGTGCATTTCTTACGCAGCGAATTGCGAAAGATGTTCTGTCTTTTTTTTATGTTGTAATATTTTCTACTTATGTATCCACCTCTTTATTTTTTTCTTCATTTTTTGTATTGTCGCAATGAAGGAGTTTACTCTTTTTTGATTCCACACTTCTTGTTTGTATCCGCTGCTGTGGTTATTGTGCTGATAAAGTAAGATATTTCTTCAGTTTTAGTCAACTTTTTCTCCAACAAACAACTGCATCAGTCTGGGTGTATCGAAAAATTCACCTTTCATGGCAATTACGTAGCTTTTGAGTAAATATAATCGGTTGAAAAACAAGATGTCACACAGCAACGCTCTTCTGCAATACAGGTTCTTTGCAGAAGTGACTTGTTACTTGATCTGCATCATTCTAGGATTTATCCAACGATTCAGTTCGCTTTACTAATTTAAACTAAGAACTTGCGTATTGACTGTGAAACTTTACTTCTCTTCTCTTTATTTTTGGAAATTTTCGAATTTAAACTTCTTGCATAGGGCAGATGCAATACGGATAATTGCTACCGAGAAATTAAAGTGGAAGGCAAATGCCTAAGGGAGTTGAAACAGTCCAAATAGGAACACGAATGGCTGGACAAATGGAAAAAACCATTTAGGATGCTTAAAGATTTGTACGAATAATCTGCTGATAATTATTCAAACTTATTAATAAACCCAACTATTGCTATAGTTACATGTATTATTAATTGCTATCTGCAAGTTTCCTGCAGATGGCAGTACGAAACATTACTACCGAGAAATTGAATGGAACTTTTTTAAATTTCTTAAACATCATCACATTCTCTACCTGTATACGTGATATTAAAAAAATATATTTAATAGAACTTGAATTATTTAGGAAAATGCTGTTTTAAAATGTAAAAAAAATTTCCACTAGATAAATTTTTTTAAAATTTTCTTCAGGAACGCGTAACGATAAAATTAATTTGTACACCAAAAATCAGGGTAGGTCACCGAACTAATTTTCGAGATATTAGTTCGTCAACTTAACAAGCTTTACTTCTGGTTTTTGCAATCTCAGCTCACACTTTTATATCCGGTCGCGCGCTTTAAACGATACCGCTGACTCAAGGGCTCATTTTCGCGAGGATGAGTCTGTGTCCGCGCGATTAATCGACGGATGGCCTGAGCGCGGAAAAAATCGTTCATCCTGACGGTGGATTCACATTGTTTTGTGATTTTACACATTCCTGAAAAGTGAGTAATTTGAGACTCAGACTGCTTACCGTTACGACAGTTAGAAATGAACTCCGGAGATAAACTCCGGAGAGAATTCTCTAGCGGAATTTGATATATGATGACAAGTTGATTTTGCAGATGGCGCCAATGCCAGTACTCCATTGAGGCCGGTAATGTTGAGTTTCTCGTACAGAGATTGTACTGTGATATGAGACAAACCAGCATCTGCCAGCTTCTGGGCCATGTTTGTCGAAGGATGAACCTTTCCATCGAACGTCTGGATGGTATCTTGTCAATGTTCCGAGAAGATGGCTTGATCGAAGGCTTCATTCGGCGAAAATATTCACCGAAATAATTGTTCATGTACAATTTGAAGTGGAAGAGTGAAAAAAATTTGGAGTGAAAAGAGTTTGCTGTGACGTCTTCCAGATTGTCGTGAGCGTCAAACTTAGCGGAAATTAGGGTTTCATATACATCAGAATTTCATGAATTTCTATAATTTTCGAGGTACTAGAGGTATGAACAAACCTTGGCTTCATTTTT